ATATATATAAAAAAAGTAAAAAAGTTCAGCTGTTCTTATCAAATTAAACAGTCACTTCACTAATGGTTTAGTAATATCCTTAATAATAAACCACCACAAGAATGACAATTACCAACAAAAAACAGTATATTCTGAGGAGACAGGTTTTAAAAAACATAAATCATAAGGTAACATTTGTATTTCAAACAAATGGGAAACTTATTAGAAAAATTTGAACAAAACTCCCTTCACCGTCATGCATCATGGGAATTCTAAGGGATGGACGTAGGCTACTATGTATCACCCCGGATCATGCGCCGTAAGGATGCGCCCTGGGAGTGCTGTCTGAGAAAGGAAAGCCTCACATGTCGCGGTTTAGCAACAGTAACAAAGGGGGGTGGAGCTTATTCAACTGTCAATTTATTCAAAATCATCAAAGAATAGTTAATGACAAGGACAAATGCAATTGGAAATACCTAAAGAGGTAAAACAGAAGTTTCTAGTAAATGTTTCCAGTAAGAGGTAAAACTACCGGAAGTCTTTGTTCCTGTTGTTTTTCCCAGTTCCTTTGGCATTTAACCATTATTAGCCAATTTTAAATTGTGGGGGCGGATTACATGCATCATCCCTTGCAAGACCTGAACTAGTGATGTCTCAAGCGGTGCCACATCCAGTGAACCCAAGGAGGACCTTCTGCACACAAAGTCTGAGTCAGTCTTAAGATCCCACTAGAGACTGAGGTTTTGACCTAAGGAGCTGCTGTTTGCTCCCACATCTTTCTAAAAGGGAAATTGGTGCAAAGGTTGCTAGATATCCCAACTGTCTGTTGAGTAATATCTATGTTAAAGTGCATTGGCAAGGAAACTCTAATAATTAGTTTATGTTTGTGTCAGCTGACATGTGTCTTTAGGTTTGTGTGTGTGTGCGCGGAGATAGATTACCAACCAGGCATCTGCCTCAGACCTCCATGGGACCTCAAAAGCTCCAGCTTCATTGTGTATCAGTTGTTTTATGGTAATTAGTTGCAAATTTGTTTGGGAGGATGCAACACTAAAGCACAATAGAGTTGGGATAAGGATGATATGGATAATTCCATTTTATTCCTACTGGGGTTCATTCATTTTCTTTCTGTTATAATATAATTGTACTTATTCAAGTAACTGTTAAGCTCTACAATCTGAAAATACAGTGACACTCACGGGCTGTAAAAAAACCAACAGTTCAGTCAGATTATCTAAACCACTTTATTTAGAGGTAAAACCAAAAGTAGTTGTACCCGAGATTATGTAATAATCGCCTACTGTGCAGGAAAATGGTTTACATCCACATCTCCAGTAAGTATGGTAGATATTGAAATAGAAATTGATGCGATTTATAGTTTTGTTTTCCTTCTTTTGTCATTTTCCATGATACAGAAGGTTGAATGAAGGCAGTGGCAGAGCAAATGAAAGGCTCTCCTCCTCACCTCGGCCCTAGTCCCATTTATTTTGAAATGTTATATTACAAAGGACAGCAAAATACGATATGACTAGTATTTATTTCTGAGACAATAGTTGTTAGTTACAGCACTAATAGATTATGATCATTTTTCATGTGGGAGGAGGCAATGAGTAAGGGTGATGCTAAGCAGCCTGTACATATGTTTTATTTGCTGCAGAAACAGAAGAGAAACAACATCTTACTTTTGTCACTGTAATTTCTTTACTAATAAAGAGGGCAACTGAAAATTGGCTTCTTATCTTTAGTGTAACACAGCACCCAAACATACACCATTGTTTTGAGAGAGTTTCGCTTTTGGGTGTGAAAAATGGCACTTAATATAAGTGTGGCTGTGAACCAAGAGCCATACCTTGCATTAAAATGTGCTCTTTTCTAATTCAGACACAGACTGCATTTAATACCAAGTGTAAGAGTGAGAACTGCAAACTTGCTTTGATGTTGCCCTGAACACAAGTCACTTCTCAGATGGCAGGTGTTGTGATTGAAGCGTTTGCTCTCCACAACATCTTGTCATGAGAGAGAGAAAATGTGAGCAGGTGTACAGGGTTACAAGTGATTCATTTTGGAAAAAGCTATGTAGACTGTGTTCGCAGTACATATAAAACTGAAAAGCATACTGTAAAAATATGCAGCATACTCAACTTTAAACATTTTTGTCCACAACTATTGCTATTCCTGTTTATAGATTTTTTTCAACTATACACCACTTTAGCTCATTTAAATCCTCTCCCTCATGAATTACAATGCAAATCAGTACACATCCAGGAAACACTTTGTTACATTGTACAGTAAAGAAGAGAGGACACTGTGGTTTCACAGAGTACGATGGAGGCAAGATTAACAAGCAGAGCTGAATGTTCCGTCAGCAAACAACCTGCTTGTGTGCCAAATTTGGTTTGATTTCAAAATAAAACCAATCCTGCAACAAACAATGTTGCTGTAAGTTAGACAGTAAATGATGAAATGATTGGCCTTTAAGTTAATAATTACACCCAATATAAAAAACAAATGACCTTGAGGCTAAACTGGGTCAACATGGTCTCAATGTCATCTGATAAAAATCTAATCCAAAGTGGGCCTTTTCAAAATGCTCACAACAACAATAAGAAAAAGCTGATTTATAGTAAACAAACCAGGATGTCGGCTTTGAGGAGGCTAAAGTGGTTAACTATCTGTGGGTTGAGCCAGAAGGTGTCACTCATTTATCAGTTTAGTTAACAAGCACATAGTTTAACATCTTCCTTCCTTTCATGCAGTGGTTGTGTGTAGTTCTTACAGAGGTTTTATATATCTGCCTTTTTAAAGCCACTGCCAACAACTGCTCAGAAGATTGAACTGTTGGTGCTTGCTGTATTTTTAAATTCACACAGATTTTCTCAAACCAAGACGAATCCTGGTGTGGAGGCTTCTTTAAAAACCTGAATTTTGTCTTTACACTAATTCATACTAAGCTTTGTATGGAAGTATGTTTGTCTACAGAGAGTTAAACATCATTTTCAGGCTGTGGGAGAGACAACATAAACATAGCATGGTATCTTGAGACACTCCTTTCATTTATGACAACAGAGCAAAGTCCAAATCTGTCTCAGTCATTCACCCACACACACACACACCCCTCTCTCTTTAGGAATTATATAACTTGATAAGCAATAATTCACTGAATGGCTGCTGTATCAACACTCTCAGTCTGTCAGTCAGACTTTAAGTAACTCAAGCAGAGATTACAAGACGATTTTTATGTGTTTTCCTGTGACTGATTTAAACTTCCTGAGATTTTAATCAGATATATCTTAATCCATCTGTGCGCTATAGACACACCTTTCTACATTGGGCACACAAAAGATCCAAAACACATAACAGCTGCCGAAAAAATATGGACGCTTGAAACACAAACACATAGGAAAGACCAAACAGTTATGCCCAGCGCAACATGAATTCAAAATTAACTCCACTGTTATAAAGTCAATTTTGACGTTAAAATGGAAAAGGGATATTGTGACATTAATCTGGATGAGCATGAGGGAAATGACCTTTTATAACTTCTCCAAAATAGAGATTATTTCTCAACCACAAATGTATCTTAGCTTCTCACACAGCCACACTACATCAGGAATGACATTTTAACCTTTAATAAACTTAAAACCCATGATATGATCCTGATAAATGCCTAATAATCTATAGCATGAGTTTGATGAGTTATGTCCCTGTTACTTCATCATTATAAGGATTATCTGTAAAACCTGTAACTCAAAGTATTCAACTTTCAGGGAAGTGTGAGTGAACTGCTGATTTACTCTTGATGACTTATTTCTCTCTTTTTCTGTCATTCATTTTCAACAGCAATCTGGTTGGCTTTTTATGGTAGGAGACTTATACTTCTGGTAAAAGACAACTACTTGCCTGTTTATTTGACTTTCTATTTTAAATCCATATTGCGTTTTTTACAGAGCTGTTGATTTCCATTAACTTTATTATCACAGAGTATTAGGTATTAGGAGACTATCAAAGACCACACAGATGGTTTGACATGAACATGTTATTTATGTAACTGGCAGCTATTTTTCCAAAGCTGTTGTAGATTGATTGATTTCCTATCATCCAGGCGGCGATTAGTTTTAAGTGCTGTCAATAAAACAACTGAAATGAACAGATTTTCTACCACAGTGAACTTTTCATAGAGATTTATTATCGTGTGATAATGACGAGCCGTCAGCACGTTCAACTGCATCACCACAATAACACAACGCCTGACCAAAATAAAATGGTAAACAGATCTTTATCTCGATCAAATATAGCACGTCCGCGAGATATTTTTTAAATAGCATAGAGAAATTACTGGACACTACCAGCTGCCTGGAAGACAAATACCTTCAGTGGTCACTGGCAAAACACTGCATGACTCCAAAAAATGTAGGACTAATGTGTCTGAATCGACCCATTAGAACTATGAAAATCTAGAGCGAAAACACAAGTTAAATTGCTTTGAATATGTAAAAACATTTAGTTTAGATAATAGATAGTAATCCTTGGTACATTTTCCCTGATTGTATCAGATTATTGACATGAACATCATACAAAGTGATGACTTTGGATATGGTGAACAACTAGACTCACTGTTGACAGTCTGAGTATTGTACAACAATGTGATACGTCTGATTTCCGAGTGCTGTTGTTGTGTCATAATAAAACAGTATTAGGGCCAGTTTGCATCAGCTGCCATGGAGCCACACAGCAAATCTCAGACAGAAACCAGAGTTGGCCCCTGAGTTTGTGCTGAGTCACGACCAAGGTTTTCCAGTCTTCCAGTCAATTCAAAAACACAGAACTGCCTGAATGTTGCGCAATTAGTCTATCTATAGATTCCTCATATGACACTGAAGACAGACGTGAGAGAAGAAGGTGCATACATAAAAAGTCTTGCTTCCTCACACAAATCGATCCCTCTAACGGGCTCACCCATAAAAACTGTTCGATGTAATAAACCCAGTGGGAGTGGGACACTAACCGTCTCCTGGACTCACCTGAGAAGCTGTGACCACTTTGATGGTTAAAATCCCTGCCTGGTGTTTGCATGTCAACCTCACACTCACACTGTGGCCCGCAGACACCCTGTGGACCAACACCTGATTGTGTGCCAGTTGTCATTCCCGTGACCGCACCCCCCACCCCCTCCTCATGCTCACCATCACCCCCCCCTCCCCACCCACCCCCCATCTGTAACATTAACACAGCTGGTAGTCCATGACCATGTAAAAGTGACCACCATAACAAGATATGACACCTGACAGTCTTAAACAAGAGGAAATGTGGACAAGCATGGGTGATTCAAGTGGTTTCCAGTGTAATCCCAGTTTCGAGCACAATAAATTCAAATAGGCTTTTTTTTCCAGAATTATTTCATGTCAGTGCCAAATCTTAAACTACTCTGTATTCTTTGAAAAGCAGACTCAGTGTTGACGGATTAAATAACTTTTTAAGGTGGTTTTTCCAGTGCGTAATCGCCCAACCAGCAGCCACAACACTCAACAGCGCAACAAACTGTGAACCGAGCGGAAGGTGACTGACCTGATCAGCGTTTTGAAGCGCGCAGAAGACCGAGCCCACTTGCTTTTTGAAGTCGGGTCGTCTTCTTCGGTTGTACAAAAAATGTACAGTGTCAGCCCTGGGAAGCGCGGCGTCTCCCCTCGTCGCCTCCACAGGAGCGCAGTGTCAAAGTAGTCGGGTCTGTTTGTTTCTGGTCATGCTGCTGCCGTGGTCGGTGTCAGCCAGCCTCTCTCTCTCTCTCCTCCCTCCTCTCTCAACGCAACCCGGGATCCTGAGGACGCGCCACGCAGAGGCTTCGAATTACCCTTTAATTTAAAAGTACTTAATTTTAACTTTTTTCGGGGGAGAGGGTTCTTAGTCGTTTGAGCTGCGGGAGCCAGGTAATTTAAAAATCATTTGGAAATGGAGACTATTGGCTTGGTTGCTTGTTTATTGTTGAAAGCTGCATTTCGGGTTGAAGCCAAATTGATTAAAGGAATAACGTTAACGTTAATGTTAGTGGGACATTTTGGGAGATGCTAACTTTCGTGCTGATAAATTAATTAAGTTAGCTAAGATCAACACTGACCTATCAAGATGTACTAGGCTAACTTAGCTTAGCACGAAGACTCTAGGCTCTGTCCAAAGGTAACAAAATCCACCTAGCAGCACCTCCAAAGCTCACAAATTAACTCGCTTTATCTCGTTTGTTTAACCTGATAAAAAAAAGTAAATTGTGGTTTTACAGCATGCTGTGCCACAGAAAGTTACTGCTCCCTGACTTAAATGGTGAATGTATTTTTTAAATTTCAGTTTTTATCAGGGATTAGCAAAAGAAACTGGATATAGCCTACCTTATTAGTTGAGGGGCTTTAGAGTGTATTTCCCATCATGTGTAATTACTTTAATAAGTTACTTATCTGTAAATGAGTGACACCTTTGTAGGGTTACCCCCCTCTTAGTCAATTAGTGGACTAATGATGACTAATAGAGTCACACCACTGGTATCACAATCACGTTTCCACACATTCTTTGGACTTATCTGCTGAAAGACAGTAATAGTGGAGCAACGATTTGACAGATTCTGCAATTACATCCCAATTCAGTAATAAAAAAAAGTGACCAGCAGTTATTTGTAGAGGACAGCCTGTTGATGCTTTCATTCATTGTGGTTTACTATGTTTAAAATAAAAAAAGTCACTATTACAAGTTGACCTAGAAAGAGATTCTTATAAATTGTAAATTAGTGTACTAATTGTCTTATAAAATTACATCTGGAGGCTATGCAGCTTACTTAGTAAATGCACAACAAATAGTCATGTGGGCTGCATCTTTTGAGACTCTATAGACTGTAGGTTTGAGGAGCCTAGACTAACCCCAACCTAAACCTCACTCTATTTTTAAGACTAAACCATGCTCTGAAATCTACAGACTATTTATCTTCTCTGTTATCTGAGAGCAGCCGTGGTTCTTCACATTGTTTTTCAAACTTCCTATCTTGAAATCACATCTATGTCAAGATATTGGATGTCTTAAAGTAATAATATCGTTTACATGAGGTTGAAAAATGTTTTTCTTAAAGATTGCAAATTAAAGTGTTCCACCGTTCAGCCTGCTCATGCCACTTGTAAATGTTAAATGTTTGCTAAAACATGGACCTGCAAGGCTACTTAGACTGCAATGTGGCATCGCATGAGCGCTGCTGGCGAAAAGTTCTCCTGACAAGCTGACATATTGTGGTTAGATTTGGTTTTAAACTTCCGCTGGCTCACAGAGACGCACAACAGGCAGCAGAGCAGCCTGGTGAAGAAACGTTTCCACAACCTTAAAGTTCAGTCCGTGAAGAAATAAATGTTCCCGTTTTTGTCAGTCACTTGACCAGACACTGACCTTCTGTCGGCTCCAGTGATGCAGCTCCTGCTGTAAATAACTGCTCTGTGACTAGGTGTGTAGGTGAAAGGACTTAATTATTACTATTTGAAGTTTGAGTCTTTGTATGTCATAATTTGTATTCATGGATTTGGAGACAGATTTGTTTCAACAGGCCAACAGATCATAGCGTTTAATTAATTAATGTCTTGCAGGTTTGTTGTTTTTATGTTTTCTGGTCTGTTGTTGGCAGTGAATGTGACATTTGATTTGCAACTTTTCAGCAATTTTAGCAATTCTTGAAGCAGCCCAAAGTTTCAAATAGATAACTAGAAATATCCCAAGGAGCTCAAACAGTCAGCCTGGAAATTTCAGACAAATGACTCTGATTGTGCAGCAGAATTCATCGCAGCAACAGAACAAAACAAAACGTGTAAACGGATACTTTACAGCTTCTCAAATATCGAGGTAAAGTTTAGCTCTTATGTGTCAAAATCACCCAAAAGACATGAAACCGTGCTGCACGCTGTTCAGAAAGGTGCCGTACAGTCTTGTGTGATCACTGTTTTAAAAGCGGCTGAATGCGTAGTTCACTTGTGCTACTTTCACTGTGCAGCCGTCAGCTTGAATTCAGCTGCCTCCGATCTATCATAACTCAACACTGTGAACTAAGACAGCTGGCACACTTTGCTTATTTACAGACCCACACACACATTTTCTCTCGTTCTCTCACGTGTATAACAGTTCTCCCCACGCAGAATTTCTTTGTGCTGAGCTAAATAAAATGATGCCCTTGAGAATTTTCCTGCCCCAAACAAAACGAAGCAATATTTTCTGATTGTTTATACAGTTTGAGTACCGAGGGACAGGAGCTCTGGTATCTGAAAATGTTCATCATGAAAATGCTTGTGTATCTTTACAAGACTCCCCTACGCTGTCATGACACCATAATTATTATAAGTAGAACTGACGTAATTTTTTTGGCCTAGGAGGGGATTAAGCTGTTCAAAATCAATGAAATGACAAAAGGCCAAAATGTCTTAATTTCTTCCTCCATCCTCAAACATATTGGATGATAAAATAACTAAATCTGGATATTATTATAATCTTTAACCAATGTAATTATTGGACCTTCTGCCCCACGTCCATACTGCCTCGCTCTCAGTCTGGCTCCAGCAGGTTGGGATGAGCACCAAGACAAACACGGTTTGGCTAGTAAAGGCTTGCTTTGGCACGTTAGCCGCCCACGTCCCATGTCCCTATGAGCAATGTGATGGAGACGTTCCCACAGATCTCCACTGACTGGTCGACCCATGGACCAAGAACCACAAGCGGAGAGTGTTTCCTCTGTCTTTGTTGTACGGCAATGCGTACAAAGAGTTTGAGCGAGAGGACCTGTATATGTGTTTCACATCATCTGTTAACGACAGGCTGGGGAAATTGTTGTATTCATCAGATTTACAATCAAAAGAATGCAGGATGTTAGAAAAACTCTTAAACCTTTGGTGAATTTGGTATTCATTTAAAATACATGCACATTTGCTTATACTGTTTACCTGTGTATACCATAAAATAAGTCCTACTTTACATGTAAATGGTGTGGTTTATGTTAAAGATTTAAAACTTTTAGTTGCACCTACTGAAAGGGGCCTTTCCCCCTGCTTTATTTGAGTGTAAGTGGAACATTGAAGCTAGGACATGAAAGAATTTAAGAAGAAAAATTAGAAAAAAGGTAGAAAAGAAAAAAAATGTAGGCCTCAGATTTAAATTGCTGTGATGTGCAGAGTAAACCAGTGTGCTAGAGATTGGATATCATGGATGTGTGTTGTCTGTGTGCATGAAGTGGATGTTGAGTGCTATGCTGAGTGTGTCGATATGTATGAGGTTTTGGCGAAGGCAGTGAATGACAATGTGAGAGCAGAGCAGCATGACATAAAAAAAGAAGAAACAAAAGTAACGGTAAAAATTACTATCATTACCCTCACCACCTTCTAACCATCTCTATCAACACCTGATCATGATAATAAAAATAATAATAGGGGCCATGTTGACATCAGTGATGGTTTTCGACTTGTGTATTGTTGTCATGACCGGCTCCAAGGGCCGTGGCAAATAAAGGGAGATACACCAGAAGTGCACTGATTTATTGACAAAAACATTCAATTAAACTGCAAAATGAGAAGACACGTAACCAACCAGTAAAGTTAGCGGTGTAGGTGAGAGTATGTGTGGGCAATATGGTGTGCAGTTGTTGGCAAAATGATAACAGAGCCAAACAAAGAAGAGTCTCACTGAGAGCAGCTTTTATAATGATGGGGAACATTGGGCCCAGCCAGCCCAAGCGGAGGACCCTGCCTACCAATTACATGCAAATACATTACATCCTGGAAGAGAAGAGCAAACAAGGCGCAACCAAATGGTCCAGACGGCTGTCACGCATATTCAAATTCTGTACAATAAACACTGAACACAAAACATCTCTAAGCATGAATCTTTGCAGAAGAGAAATGTACTTCTCATATGCAGTCTTTACACATGTACATAGTGCCATCTGCTGGCTCAGCAAAGGTAGTTCAACCCCTTCCTCCTTCATTAAGGAGCACAAGACTGTGCCTTACAATATGCTCATTCTGCTCAGATCAAGACTTGATGATCTTAAGCCCTCAGTATTTAAACGTATGAAATCAGCTCTGAGGGTTAATCATAAAACGCTGTTCTTCATGCATGTGTTTATGGTTGT